CTAGTGGCAGGAGCCTCACCACACCACAAAAGTGTGGCTTGAGTAACACAACAACGACCAAACACTCAATGGATGCCAGATCCCAGCGCAGCTGCGCATCCATGAGGCTTCCCATCCCACAACCCACAGGACCCAGAAGACCCGCCGTCAGATTTTGGTTGTCCCCAAAGGACACTTGCTGAAGTCCCAGCACATGGGGAGCCTACACAATAGCAGGCACATAATACTATAAAGAAACTTTATTTAATTTAGCACGTGTAAATTCAACAGACTTTACATAAAAGGTAGGTCTACGATGCCTTAAGGCAAGAAAAACAACAAAACTTTCTAAGTCTTTGAGATTATCAGTACAAAAAAAGTTTTTTAAATTACAATGTCAAATGTAATATTTTTCTACTGGTCCACAGAAACAACACAAAACTTAAAGGGCTAATGTTATGCCTAATAATGATTAGAACATTGTTGGCCTAATTGTAAGCAAATATCATTATATTACAGATTCAGCCATCGGGAGTGACTTGATCTGTTGACAGAGATATTTCAGATATTGTGCCTTCAAGCTAGCAAAAGAGAACAGCACACATGTTGCTATCTTGAAGCTAAAGTTGTTTTCCCAGAAATGGATGAGCCTCTGGCCAGCCCTGAACGTCAACTGCACCATCATTTTCAACGAGCACATTTCACTTTTGCTCTTTAAACATTTGCCATGCAGCCCGATATTGTCCAGAAAACACAAACCTTTGCTGCTTAGTAAAAGTACAGGACAACACCTCTGTGTTCCAGTGGTGAAAGAACTACAGCAGATCCAGTCTTCTGTTAGATGACTCTGTATCCTAATAAATCAGCAGGGTGGATCCCGCTTTAGCTTGCCACCGCACGCCGTTTGAAGTGGGGCCTGGCGGTCTTTTACCAGGCCTGCATTCAGTCCCCTGTGGTAATGACTCAACTGGCCAAAACACCGTGCCACACCCGACCTCGCTGCCAAATCCTAGCCAAGAAGCTGGGTACACACAAAAAAGGGGGAGCTTTAAAGGGTTCTTTAGCTTGGGAAGTGGTTCTGTGCAGAACAGAGAGATCCCAAACAGCTGTGAAAAACAAAGAAAATGAGTGGAAAAGACGACTAGTTTGGGTGTCCTCAGTTTGTTATAGGCGTTCTTAGAGGCTCTTTTAAATAAAGCTTTTGATTTGCTTTCAATTTTTTGTCATCAAATGTGGATTTTTTTAATCAGTTTAGATTGTGCTTACAAAGGACGACATAAAAACCTCTCTTGTTTTAGTCATTATCACTGACAGATTGTTCCACGACTTTTCAATGATTAGCTTTTTTGAGAAAGTTGTTGCAATGTGTAGCAAGCCCACAAAAGAAACAGCCCTATAATGATATGCAAAAAAGCTTTAAATTAATAAGAAATAAAATAGATGAATTTAAACCTACAACTGCCTTTGGGTGCTCTCTTCCTTGCTGGGTGTTGTTTCACTCCAAGTTTCTGAAGAGCAGTACACTCTTGGTTTCTTGTATTACGCAAAGAAATCATTAAATAAATCTTACACTTTGGTCCGTAGTTTGCTGTACTAAGGCTTTTGTAGTTTTGCCTCTGTATACCACTACAGTGGATCTTAAATCAGATAGTTAATATGGAATTGAAATGCTGTTTTTCAAGGAGTTTTACAAAATTATCAGATGAAGTTTTCAGGATTTATATTTTTATGCAAATCCCCCATTTTCAGAATCTTAACAAATAATTGGACAATTGACTGAAAAGCTGTTTCAGGGCGAGGTCAGGCCTGTTCCCTTGTTTTGGAGGAACCAAATCAAAAATCTACCCTTCTAAATTATTTACATTGGGAGAAGCAGCTTCACCATAGCTCTCAAGCCAAGAACACACGCAAGGAGGTAGCAAGTGATGATGTGCAAACCACTGGTTACACTCATAGACAGTATAAGACATGAACTTAGCCATAGTTTCTGGTCCTGGTCCTGTTTTGGAGCATCAAGTTGAACATTTCCCCGTTGCCATCTTTGCAACATAGAAAACACTGTGGATCAGACGGTGAAACTGGCGAACGGCTTATTATTGAAAACTCATTAGCTGGCGATGTGTCGATTCCGTACCATAACTAATCCTCAGTTTTTGGAACCAAAATTTACAAAAAAGACTTCAGTATGGCCCAAAACAAGTGAACGAGCCAGCAGGAAAGTGTTTACGGACAGAAAGCCATTACTTCTTTTTGCAGCCATAGCGATCACCTTATGATAACCTTAAACAGATTGCAGGTCTTAGATGCCAAGTTTTGTTGCTCTGGAAACTACCTCCATGTTCTATACCAGGGGTCCCCAACTCCAGGCCTCGAGGGCTGGTGTCCTGCAGTTTTTAGATGTGTCCTTGATCCAACACAGCTGATTCAAATGGCTAAATGACCTCCTCAACATCTCTTGAAGTTCTCCAGAGGCCTGGTAATGAACTAATCATTTGATTCAGGTGTGTAGACCCAGGGTGAGATCTAAAACCTGCAGGACACTGGCCCTCGAGGCCTGGAGTTGGGGACCCCTGTTCTATACTGTCTATGGCTACACTCAAGATCAAGAAGGCCAGATTAAAAATCTTGTGCTGTTCTGAAAATAACTTGTAAAAGAATGATGGGAGAAAAAGCGACCACATCGTCAGTCAAACATGGTGGAGGCGGTGTTATGGTATGGACAGCTGTTTAAAAAGAGCCTAAAGAACAACTCTAGCCTGTGTGAAAACAACAAGTGGCTGCTCTGCATCGTACCCCAATCACCCCGAACCGGTCGGAACAGCTGGTTGCGCCTCCATGAGGCTGGATCTGCAGGTTTCCTCCTGTTAAGTGTAAATTTTTCCCGCCCACTGTCATGAGTGCTTGCTTAAAAGAGGTCGTTTGATTTTTGTTTTTTTCTCTACATTGTTGTAGGCTCTTTACCTTGCAATATAAAGCACCTTAAGGCGACTGTTGTGAATTGAAGTGAGTTAAGTCTTTGCCTGCATCAGTATCTTGTGCCATAATAAGTCGCATTCATTTGAATCTAAGCAAACACCAAGTGTGTGCTAAGAGGCCAGTTTGTCTGAAATTGGACTAAAGAACATTTTTGGGATTTAACTGATACCACTAATAAAAACAACTTCAGCCACAGAGAGCTCCAGTACAGTCTAATCTCTGCCTGGCATATGCTGTGTACCAGAGGATAAGCACACACACACACACACACACACACACACACACACACACACACGCACACGCATGCATGCCTGCTGATGTGTTTACAGCCTGCAGCTGGGGTGCGGTGCAGCAGCTTCTTCCACCATGATGGGCATCTACATCCTAGCCAGCAGCAGCAACACTCCTTTGCTCCTGTTTGTTTTGGTTTTTAGGGAGGAGGACAGCAGGTCTCTGAGCCTCATGAGGCCTGTGGTTCTGCAGCACACATGGACCTGCATGTGAGCTCAAGTGCTGGGAAAAAACATTTTTCCTTGTTTTTTTTTTTCTTTTTTGATTATTTTAATTATTTGTGTGGCAATGGGTTTGGTCTATGCCCTTCAAAGTCATGCCCCAGCAACATAATATTTACAGATGGAGCCACTTTTTTTTGCAGATCACTGGAAATTCTAACTTTGGCTTCTTGTGTGTGTTCAGATAAACCTATTTAGTTTATCCAGAGCTTAACTAGAGAAGTCTGTGATCAGTCAAAATTAAACTGTTGTAAAGCTTATATGAACACACATATAGAGAAATAAACTAAAGCATCTTTTTTCGCTTCTGTTTATGTGATTAATTGCCAGAGCACTGAAGACCTCCTGAGACAGAAACTCGCAGTTTTCGTCACACACTTCTTTGTATCCTCCAAACTGTGGTTGCCACAGGGCTGTAAAGCTTGTTTTTGACCCCAACAAACATGTGATCTACACTAAATGACTCATCACGTGTTTCCACACACAGTCTTATCACTAATATCACTTGAGGGTCAGAGTAGAGGAATTCTGAATAAGAGGTAACATCCTGCCATCTAGTGGGGGAATTTTAACACTTCAGCTGAGGTCTGTTTGTTTTCTGTCTCTGCAGGTGATGGACAGTTCAATGCCTCTGATTGGCGAGCATGTGGAGGAGGATAAACAGCTGATCACAGAGCTGGTCATCAACAAGATGGCCCAGGTGCTGCTGGGAGTTTCCATGCCTCAGCCTTCTACTGTTAAGGTACAAAAAGCTTTCAAACAAGCCACTACTACTACTGTAACTCACTTTTTTCATAGTACCAGGCAGTAATTATAAAAACTGCTACGAATTACAAAACTTTGTTACCACTTCTACCAATAACGCTAATAAAATTTTTCTACTATGGATACTTATTATCAGGTCTGTTAATTAATAATGTTGTCACTGATGATCACTATAATGCTACACAGTTTTACCAACTGCAGTGACTACTGTTGGAGTAGCACTGTAATTACAAGCAGTGCTTGTATGGCCATACTTTCACCTGTACTCACACTGATAATTTTTTTCAGAAATAAAAAACTTAAAATGCACTTTTCTAAATTATTACGCACACATAGTTTCAAAAGATTTTATAGGTTGTAGAGAATTGAAAATGGCCATTTGTTGAATTTGCAGCATTAGTAGATCAATTTCACTGAAATCAAAAGCTATTTCAATCAAAAACATCTTAACGGGTCAAGTTACATATGAACATAGGACCCCTTATTTAAAAGCAGTTTTACAATTCTTGCATACATGGAACTTGTAAATACTTTGGAAAGTTTCTACTTGAATGTCTTTGCAGGATGTCAGAATAGCCTCCCAGAGCTGCTGTTTGGATGTGAACTGCCTCCCACCCTCATAGTTTTTTGCTTGAGGATGCTCCAAAGGTTCTCAGTAGGATTGAGGTCAGGGAAGAATGGGGACCAGACCATGAGTTCCTCTGCTTTTATGCCGATAGCAGCCAAGGATGCAGAGGTGTTCCTTGTAGCATGAGATGGTGCATTGTCTTGCATGAAGATGGTTTTGTTGCAGAAGGCACAGTTCTTCTCTTTCTACCATGGAAGAAAGTGGTCAGTCAGAAACTCCACATACTTTGCAGAGGTCATTTTCACACCTTCAGGGACCCTAAAGGGGCCGACCAGCTCTCTCCCCGTGATTACGGCTCAAAACATGACTCCACCAACTCCTCGCTGACGACGCAGCTTTGTTGGGACATGGTGGCCGTCCACCACTGCATCCATCTGTACCATCCAGGGTTGCACTGCACTCATCAGTGAACAACACTGTTTGAAAATTAGCCTTCATGTAGTTCTGGGCCCACTGCAGCCATTTCTGCTTGTGAGCATTGGTTAGGGGTGGCCGAATAGAAGGTTTATGCACAACTGCAAGTCTCTGGAGGATCCTACACGTTGATGTTCGCAGGGCTCCAGAGGCACCAGCAGCTTGAAATATGTGTTTGCTGCTTTGTTTTGGCCATTTAGCAGCTGTTCTCTTAATCTGATGTATTTGTCTGACAGAAACCTTCATCACTGTGCCTTTATCTGCACGAACCCATGTGTGCTGTGACTCGGCCACAAATCTCTTAACATTATGGTGATCATGCTTAAATTTTCGTGAAATATCTAAGATTTTCATTACGTGTCCAAGGCATTCAACTATTTCACGCTTTTCAGCAGCAGAGAGCTCCGTTTTCCTTCCTATATTGCTTAAAAATGGTGGTCTGCTTAATAATGTGGAATATCCTTCTTTAGTAGTTTTTCCTTTAATTGGGCTCACCTGGCAAACTAATGTTTGGGGATATGTTGGAGCTGATCATCTGTGGCATCAACCTGAGTTGATGTATTTGCAAAGACAATCAAAATGTCTCATCGTGGAAACTGTTTCCTTTCCATGTTTTCAAAAATGTGTTGTTGTCATGGTGTTAGCAGTAAAATTCAAGCATTTTTATGTAAATGATGCTATATCTGTGTCTTTTTGTGTCTTCTTCAGACCACGCAGCCCAGACGAGGTAAGTAAAGTGCTTCATTATGATTCATTCCACTACCTTCTGTGGTGATACAGTACAGAGAAATAATAAGCCTGTGCATCACGTGTTCATGTATGGTAGGGGGACATCGTTCCGCTTCTGCCTCTCCATCTCAGTCGGCCCAGGGATCCCCTCAGAGAGCCCGGTCCGCCACTACGTCTCCCAGCCAGGCGTTCCAGCCCGGTCCCATCCCTGCCTCTTCTGGACCTGGAGCTGGGAAACAATCACCGCAGCTGAAGTAAGTCCAAGTTGGGGTTCTGTTAATCTCACACATGACTTTGCTTACGATGATTTTCCTCGTCTGGTAGCTAAACCGTCTTCGTCTTTGTCGCGCAGCAAATCGCAGTCGCTGACAAACAGCTTCACGGAGACGTTACGAGGAAGCTTGACCGACGATGAGGCCAAAGCCGAGACCATCCGCTCCCTCCGACAGTCCTTTGCCAGCCTCTTCTCTGACTAAAAACATCCCTACCGCCTTCCTCTTCCTGTCATCAGGTTTCAGAAAATAATAATAATTGCTTACTCTGTTTGTTATGGAGTCGCCTCTCTCCTTTCCATGTTTGTGAAGTTTAACACTGGTGCAACCCTCTGTCTTCAAATCAGTGATCAATCTATCACTAGAAAGGCCAGTGGATTTCAGAGGACCTACACCATATTAACTGGAGATGGTAGATTTTAAGATGTCACCAAACCCCCCGTTCACGTTCTAATTATTCCATATTCAGGTTTAATCTACGAAACTCCTGAAACATTTCTAGTCACTCCAATGTTGTGTTGAAACCTAAAACCTGTCCATAGAAATTGAACTTCCTAGAAAGCAAAACCAGCCAATGGCCTTTTTAGTGGTAGGTGATCACAGTAGATATTCATATTCTCGCTCGTGCTGCTTGGTATATAATTGTTATTCTGCATTCTCTTTGTCCGACCGGTGAAACTATTTCTATGTTCATATTTCTACATTTATGTACATCCGTCTATCTTCAGTTTCTTTATTCGACACACAGCTTCCAAATTGTTTGCAGATGTCCATGGCAATATTCTGATCTGAACCAGTTCCACTTGAGTCATGAGAAGCGTACTGAATCCTCTCGCTTCACCAGCGGTCTCTTAAGCATCTTAGCCAGCAGCAGCATTTCTCAGACATCCGTGTGCTGTAGACACATATTGGCTTATGTAGTGACTCCTCTGCCTTGGCCTAACTTTACCAAAGTGCTTTTTAATAACAAAAAAAGAACATTTTTTTTAAAGAAACAACCCCCTTAACTTGTTTGAGATCACAATCACACAGAAAAACCTTTGAGCTTGTGATTTTTTTTAACGAGGTGCAAATGCTGTACTGGCTTACAGCCATCGTCTTCCATCACAGCTCTGCTCTTCCCCAGCAAATTGTTCCTTTTCTTAATCTTTTATGTTTTGTTAATAGCACCGTGGGGTATTTGTTGGTGTGGGGACTGATCTAGCAACTAGTACTGGTGAGTCTTTAGAAGCAAACAGCAAGGGTCTGATATTTTAATCATCTGTCTCTTGTTCTCTGTCAGCTAGGATTGCAGCTCATTTATTGTAGTTCTTTTTAGGAGTTTTGCTCTGTAGCAGATATAACCTACGCACACATATACCTGCAGGAATGGCAGCCATCCTCTTCTAACATCCGTCACTGTTTTGATTCTGCATGTAAATGAATGTGATGTGTGGAGCCAACCTGTTTTCTTCCACAGTTTATTTGATGGGAGCTGACGCTTACTTTGAATTTTCTGGGGAAAAAAAGTGCATTTTTGGGTAACTTATTATGAAATTAGACACCAAGTACTTTTGGTTTATCGTAGATGGACTCTGTAGATTTTCAGCATATTTCGCAAGATGGAATGTGCATACGCAATGAAGCCTTCAAAGAAAAACTCTTAATTGATGACTGATGGCAAATATCTCTTATGACTATTCATTAGTTTGATCTGAAGGGTATGCAAAACATCTTTGATAGTTTACCAAAGTCTTAAATTTCCAAAATATTCTTTTAAAAAAATGTTCAAAAAATATTGAGTGAGCTACAGATTTTAGCTTCTTGTAGCGGCAAGCTTGAAGACACAAACTGACTACATGATTTTGCTTTCCATGCAAAGAACAATCAAAGTATGATACTCTTTTACTAGAAAATTATCAAAATGGTAACGCTAAATAATAGTTTTATCTTGTGACTTAGAATGAGCTTGTAATAGTTTCTCCCACCTTCCATTTAATTCAGAATCTGGATCTTTAGTAGATAAATGATAATCCCAAAGCCAGTGTTAAATGATGAAAGTTCCAGAAAAGGAGAAAAAAGTTAACTAGCCATTTTTGCAATAATTACATTCATTGCAGGAAAAAAAATGCCACCACAGATTGCATATTTATCCTGCAAAACACGGAAACATTACAGTGGCATTGACTAAAGAGAGCATGGCTTAGCAGATGTAAATAAAGGGAATTCAGGCTTCGTTTAGTTTCCTTAGCTTCAGCTTCTACTTATAAATTTAACTAACAGGTTTCTTTCTTCCTTTGAAGCAATGTTACTGTGGTGGCAATTTTTTTCTGCATTTTTCAAATGGCTGGTTCTTGAGTTCAACTAGAAAGCTAACTAGCTAGCTAGAATGCGGCTAGTCAGCTAACGGATTTTAGCAGTAGTGGTTTATTAGCTTGCTACACCAAAGGGGACGCCATGGGTTTGTTAAAAATAAATTAGTAAATTAAACTTAAATATGCATTTCTGATGGAAACGGTTTGAGGCTAAACATACTAGGATACACGAAACAACAGAATAATGCTCACTAAAAATAAATTACATAAAAGTGCTAATTATTCCTAAATAACTTCAAGAAGACCATTTCAAATTTTAGTCTAGCTAAATTTTATTTAAATCATGGCCATTCTATCTTCCAGAGGGGATGTTCCACTTTAATAAAAGCATTTTTGAGTTTTCAATGCTAGCTTGGTTAACTTGGTTGGGGTTTCAAATGTCTAAAATTCCACAAATGTATTTATTTATTTATAAAGAGCAGGCTCAATCTGCTCGTGTTAACCACCCTTGATAATTTAAATATTACTTTATTTTTTTAAGTGCTCATTAGGCTTTAAAGTAACAACATTGTGGTTTTCCACTGTAGGCAGTAAGCTAATTCTCCTGTCAGTTGTCATGCTAGGGCAGATAAACACTAATGTAATAATTACTTAGCTTGTATTTTTCATTTTGGAATAATGAAAATATTGACATTGCTTACTGTGATTCTTTTGTTTCAAGTTATCGCTGGCTGTATTAATTCTGACTTTTTGTCAAATTCTCATCTGTAATCTCAGATTTACTGCAGTGTCTTGTGTTAAACACTTTTGCAAGCATCTCGTAGCTTTTGGTACTGTGTCAAAGTGGACCAAATCTGCATTTGATTGTGAGGCCCCTTAAAGGTTTACATTAAATTGTTCCATCGTACCTGTAAAGATAATTGCCACTTCATATATAATACTGCAGTGTGATAAGCCATAACCAAACCGTGAGTATTCCCTATCCCTTATGTGCCACGCAATAATGGCTGTGACGTTGCTGAAAAATTGAAATGTTAACTTTAAACACTGTGTCTATAGCCTAACTTGTCCTGGAGAGAAACAGCAGTTACTCTTTCTGGATATCAAGGTTATCTCAAGATATAATTATTTGCTCATTCTGTCAGGGTGAAAGATGAAAGAACTATGATGTCACTTTTCTCACATTTTGGGTTTAAAATACAGTTTAGGATCTGGCATGTTCCATAAATCTGTTTTATTGGGTCAAATTATAAACAATGACCGGACATCAAATAATTTTAGTTTTGTCACTACTGTAGGTTTGCTTCCCTTTTGTCTGAGGGTCAGATGTGGACCCGTACCTGATAGTTTCTGAGCTGATTTAATTGGAACTGAGCTGCAATGTTGATTGGTAACTACCTCAAGTTCAGCAGTGCTCTGCTGAAACTGACAATAGAGTGGTAGTACTGGACAAGATTTTGTGCACTGAGCATGGCTTCATGTTATAACTGATGTGCTCATAAAACAATAAACCTGCTGTGGTAAAACAACATCTAAGTGCAGAAGGAATGAGAGGAATACAATTTTGTTAAAGTCAAATATCGAGTCACACATTTTAAAATTCTTTGTCTCAAAATTTCCCCCCCAGTTTATACATTTCTCCAGTTTTTCAAAATTGTATTTAATTTTATAAATTGTCTTTCCTCTTTCATAACATGTCAGTTAAAGAAAACATTTTGTAACGTGTTACTAGAATGCAATATAAATTGAAATGATTTGGGCTCTTGAAGGTATCTGTGTCAAAATCTTATTTGAATGTTGTATCTTTATTATTTCAAGTGATGTTGTGCTTACTATACTGTACATGTTACAGATTTCATATTTATGACAGATATTTTGATGTCACTTTTCAGAATTTTACTTCCTTTATGATGAAACATAGACTGTATATCAAAGATGGACATGGCCACTGCGCTAGCATGTGTTGGTTTGTAGTTAACAATCCCAGAGCTTTCACTTTCACATTTTGGTCATCAACATTTTGGTCTTTTGAGTGTATTTGGAGCTGATTAGTTAACACTTGGACTAGCTAGTTAGACTTGTTACCAAAGTGCATCCGTTATTCACTGTGATATTAATTTGGATGCCAGTTTTTGCTAACAACAGGCTTAAACCAAATGTGTAAACATAAAAAGGCTGTTCCCCTAAAACCCCTAGTGCTGAAAAAGCAAGGATGAAATTACAATTAGGAGGTTAGCTTACTGTTATTAACAACTTAACCATGGGCTAAAGCACTGCTAGCTTTAAATAGACTTAAAGCTAGCATTTAAGACCATAAATACATCAAAGTGTGAGAATTTTCCCATTTCTTTTACAATGGAATTTCTTTTTGAATCCAGTAGAGTCGCCCCCTGCTGTCATTTAGAGAAAATGAAGGTTTAAGGCACATCCTCACCAGCTTCACTTTTCATGTCCATCTTTAACATACAGTTTGTGGGTTTAAAAGAGCACTCTCACAGGTATTTACGCCCCAGGTTTACTTCTGCTCGCTCTCTTTGTCTCTATAGATGTAAGCATTTCTAGTAATCCCAAAAGGCTGATTCTGTTCTGGATGTAGCGTTTTCAGTGGGAGAAACAGGTTTCCCCAACCTTGTAAACAGGACATTTGCAGAATAACTGTCACTTGAAATGTACTGTTTCAGATTGAGGAAACCTGCAGTCAGCTGAGACTGAAGACGTCACTCGGATGTGTGACGAAATGTTTCTCCCACTGAAAACACTACGTCCAGAACAGAATCAACCTTTTTGGATTTACTTACCTGGACGATTGAGCATGCATCAAGACATTTCTAAGAATAGTTCACATATCATTTGTCATCGTAAAGAGAGAGGTGTTTGAGTTAAGCAGGTTGATAGCTATCTCAGCCAATCACAGTGCCAGATTCACCTGTTTCTCCCAAAACAGGTTGCTGATGTCACCAGTGCTATATCTGGGAACTTTTACAGTGTGCATGGAACGTATGCTCATTACATAAAGCTTTTATCTTTAATTTCCCCAACATTGTTTTCATTTAATATATAATTTGGAGCAAAGGCAATACTCTGCTACCGGGGTTGGCTCATCATGATTTGCTCTGGGTGTGTTGAAGTGATGCATAGTGTAAGACTGAATTAATATGCAGCCACAGAGACTTACAATGAAATACAGCTATTACTGAAAGCAAACTCAACTCTACTTTAATGTGGCATATGTACATGAGAGAAATAATGCCGTTGCACGGGTTCATTTGCCAGTTTTTGAGTTCACTGTGTCCCTTCCTCTCTGCTGAATGGTGGGTGATATTGTAAGTGTATTAATGTTGTGTATATTGGTGTAAATGTGGCATGAAAACCAACCCCTCTTGTGTGCCTCAGGTGTATAAATTTAGGCGTTATGTGATCTCGATGTCTGGCTGCTTATTTGTGAGAAGTGTGATGTAATTTATTAGTATTAACATTATTTCTGTACTTTTGTTCTTTTGTCTGAACGAAAGATTTCTGTTAATAAAGTAAAAACTTTTATTATACCTGTTGCCGTGCATTCCAGTCTCTATCAGTCATCTGCTGAGCTCCACTTGATCAGATTTGGAGGTTTTTTTCTCCATTTATGGTCATTGAAACAGAACGTTTGGCTATTACTGTACTTTTAAAAGCCCTGTTTGAAAAACGCAACTTTCAGAATATGTAGCGATAATCCCAAAATCCTTTCATCTTGGATTATTACCCTTTTTATATTTCTCTTGGCATGATGCTCAGGGTGTTAAAAGCTGTCTGGCAACACAAGGCCAAGGAGAAAGAAACCTGCCGGCATCCAGTGCTTCTTTTCATCTGCTGCCCACTTCACGTCAGGTCCAGAAATTAATTGTGTTAAGAGATGATATTAAACACACTCAGCTGTGAATATGTCACTGAGCACACACGAACGTGTTATAAATTCTCAAACAACACGATCATCATTCAGGTATTACTACTTTACGACCGAATGTGACTGCCAGACTCGAAAGCCCAGCTCTAAGGAGTAAAGTACTTGAGAAGAACTGAACTGAGACGATCGTATTTTTGTGGCCAACCTTAAATTCAAACTACAGTATTTCTTTTCCCCCTTTTCTAATCACTTTGGCGCACTAGAATAAAGTGTAAACAAATGTAGGCGTGTAAAATGTCTGAACTTAGAACAAATTTTGAACACTTCTTCTCCGATGTAGTTGGTAGTGTTACTTAAAGTATGCAGGTCCAAATAAAAGCTGCGATGGTTTGGTTAACAAATACAAAGAAAGTTCATGAGGATATTTTTTTCCGTGCATCCAGTCATGATGAAGTGATGAGCCCTGTTGCCCGTAAACTAAAAAGTATGAACAAATATTTATGACACCGTTACCAACACCACTGATTAAATGATGCACGTTTCCACATCAAGCAGACACTGATCAGCACTCGCTTTCAGTTAGAGTTGTGTTTCTATTGCGGTTCATTTCCACCGTATGCTGAAAGCATTATGTGGCTCTTGAGCAGCTCTGTGTACATCGCCTAGTCACTACTGTTTTTTCTGTTGTAGGTTATGAAAACAAAAAAGAGAACCTTTGAGCTTTTAACCTAAAGGGAACACTATGTGTTCATCAATCACTGTGAGTGACCCCATTCACATTACACACTCATCGTTTTATCTCCTTTTTTTATAGTAAAAATACTCATTGGTACTGAATTTATAAAATTTACAACATGACACAACATCATGGACAAGAAAGAGACTGACTTTACCTCCAACTACAATATTTGTTTGTCAAAAAGATAATCAAATATCTAATTATTTTAAATTACTTACACAGTATAGTAATATTGGTGAGGTGTGTGTATAGCAGCTTGACTGTTCCATAACTTTAAGAAAGAAACCCACTACCTATACTGTTCACATACTTCACTGCAATATAAACAATGTGCCAGTAAGAACACCACAATCTTGCAACCCAATAGAGAAGATAGTTACAACAAATACAAAGTGAATGATTTACTGTTTATATGACAGAAGCCGAAACGCTAATATGGAGGTAGCCAGATTCAATAACACGATTATTGTGGCTGAGATGATGATGTTTGTCTCAGCCACAGTAAGATGGCAGCATATTAGCTTCTGCAAATCGGAGCCCGCTTGTGTATTTTTAATGGATTAAAAATAGTTTCTCTGAATACATCAGTGTGTTGGAAGATGCAATTGCACACTATTAATGTATTTTTATGGGTACAACATTCCCTTTTTCCTATTAAATTACCTAAAAATTACTTACTGTACCTTTAAAACAAACTAATAATAACTAATAATAATAATAACTTTATTTATAAAGCGCTTTCAAACAAAGTGCTGTACAACTATTTAAAACTAAAAAGATAAAAAAATAAATAAAAGCGATACATAGCAATACAGGTAAAAGACACAATACAAGTTAAAAACAGTAAAAATTTAAAAACTAAAAGCCATAGAATTAAGACTTGTAAGATAAGGTGAACAAATGTGTCTTCAGCTTAGTTTTTAAAAACCAACTAATGATTACAACTGTGTGACAACAACTGTACACATCTAATAGCTTTCCTTTTCTAACTCGTTCTAATTCAAAGTTCCCACTCTGGTACATCCAGGTGACATGTAACACTCATGAAACACGTCCCAGTTAATATAAAGCATTTTAAACTCGAAACACAGTGGGTTAACAAACTCTTTTACCTGTCTGTTTTCTTGGGATTTGAAGCTCCGAGTTATTTAGTATGAAATCAAAGAGGTGGCAGGCTTGTGTTCTGCAGATCATCCCGGCTGCATTTAACATCAACTGATTTAAGGAGGCAGAGACTGCAACCTAATTCTTCCCCAAGAATTCATCCCACATGCTGATTTATGTTATCTTCACAAAGGTGTTAAACTCTCTTCCCAACGATGAACCTCTGACCTCTCACAGCACCTGGTGCCTGCTCTCACTCTTTGTTCTGCAGCTCTCAGTTGTTTCACGAACCACAGTTGCATACCAGACCACTGGCAGCCTGATGGTAATCTGCTGCCAGTGTAATTTCTTGCATTCTTAAGGTGGAATGTCCAATCTTTTATCAGCCGCAGGTCCCTGCCTGCCTGCCTGCAGCCTCCACTGGCTGAAAAGAAATCCATTCCCACCACACTGTAGTGTGCAAATATCGATGAAAAATAGATGTAACTAAATTACTCTTCACCTCTTACCTCCAAATGCTGTTTGGGGCAGGAATCAAAGGGTCTTTACACATTTCCACAGTAAATTGATTAAACCAGTAGGCCAGTAGGGGGCATTGTCCATTCAGCTATACCCAGTCCACCCCTCCTAACTGTTTAAGGATATTTAAGCCTTCATCATGTTTCAGGGAAAGCACCTTCACACATCTTCATTTGCATCTCCTGGAAAACAAGTCAGTGCTGTCTCAGACAATAGTGGCACCAGTCTGTCTCTTAAGGATGGAAACTGGGAGTGATTTACCTGCAAGATAACAGAACAAAATATTTTCAACTTCACTTATTTTCCCTAACATGCCAGCATTACATCTTATTGAGTTTAGGGCGCTGTTACAATAGATGTGTGGTGCAGTTGGGATCTGTCTAAGTCATGACACAGTACAATAAAGAAACATTAAAGCGCCCCCTGGTATACATTTTTAAAGGAATAATATGAAAAAGAAAACTGTGTAAAGTGGGTACTGTCATCGTTCTCAGTTTTTAAAAATATACTTGCCAGCACATCAGTCCGGTATTACACAGGATGCTTCAAAGCATGAACAGCTTCAATCCAGCAGCATCAGAATAGGACTTGTCCAGGTAAATGTGAAGAGGAAAGAGGCAAGAAGGTGTTGCTTAGCAACAAATGGAACATCAACACATGAAAACTGCACAAATAATTATTACATTTTGCATCAATGTTGTTTGAACACACACGCAAGCACTGCAGTGGTGCAAAAAAGCTGCTGCTAGAGGATCATACATAAACAGGTCCTGTATGAAACTGTGAGAACATCAGTTTTCAGAACAAGTTTCGCTCAAACATTTGTTTGAGTTTATGCTCTCTGCATAGACTGTATCATAAGAGAATGGATGGATTGTTTTTTCCCTCTGTGCTTACAAAATCCAGTTATGACCTTTTCTTCCTGCACAAAACCTGACAGCAGTATTCATGAAAAAGCATGCCATACACTATTTAACTTCAACACAATTTGGTAAAACTGTTACGTATTTTAAAGTTTGTTTTGAGAGTCAGCGAAGGTGTGTCCTGCAGCTACATCATCTTAAATGTGGATCCGTAAGAAATGTTTCAAAAAGCTCCAACAGAAAAAGATGGTGAAATTGCAATGCACCACTTTAACCCTCCGTTTCCTCCCTAAAGTTGGGCATTTTAAAAGGAGACTAAGGAATGACTCACTTTTGGAAGTAGCCTCAAGTGGCAAACTGAGGAACTGCAGTTTTGTCACTTCTGCAGTGGGTTGAGTTAAATACTTGTCAGTGTCCAAAACGACTCGCAATCCCTGTCCAATCCTTGTTCTCATGATAAAATTAAACTATCACAATAGTCAAATTACATATTTGACTATGTTAAGGCTGAACACAAATGCTGTGTCCAATGCTGGGAAATGTTTTATTTGTCTCTGATGACTGTCATGTTTTCTCGTGAAAGCTACAAGTCAAAGTGTGTAACTAGGAAGCCTGCAGGAAAGAGGGCATTGATTTCAAATCTATATTTAACCATCACTCTGTTTTATTCAGTTGTCTAACCTGTTACAGTTGGACATCATTTAACCCCTGTTTGAACACATATGTGTAGGTGGATGTGCACCCATGCGCCGACGTGTCCTGTATTTGCACACTTGAGCGAGTGTATATGTGAGAAGCCCTGCTGTATCCTCTCAGACCTGCCCACAGTACAACAATGCCTCGGTCACCATAGTGAATCTCTTTAAAACAAGGAAAGGCCTTGGTTGTCATGGCAACTGCAATGCTTCATAAAGCCCAGAAAGATGGAAGTCCTCTACTCTTGTCTCCAGACTTTGTTGTATCTCTGCTGACGTTTCTGTGATTCTACAGTCAGAAAGGAGTGTTCCTGTCACTGGGCTATACATCCTTTATATCACTTTCACAACAAGAAACTGACACGTGAAAAACACCAAAAGACCAAATCATCGGGAGAAATTTTGAACCCTGTGTCCGGCGCGTGTATAGATATGGACAAGAAACTGAACAAACTATCAGTGCAAGACCATTTTTAGGCACTTCTTGAGCTGGAATTTTATTTCCTTTGTGTGACGTGCTCCCTGTTTTTACAGCTAAGACATATTTCGGTAAAGAAGAATGAGCAGGTAGGGTGGTGGTGGTTTGTGGAAAGCGGGAGAGGTTAAGTGGTTGCTATTCAGAAGCACACAGATGTGTTTCTGTCACTTCAAAGGTCATTAAACTGACTTAGAGGCGGGTGACAAATAAAAAAGGGTTTTGTAAAGTGTTTGTAAAGCCTCCTGCAGTTTCACGAGTTTCATCTCTAACTCATGACCCTTTCAAAGAAACTCATGGTGCACCATTCTACCAAAAGATGTTTCCTCATTTAAAGTTTTGATGGTGTTACTGGAGAGACGCGTCCACAACACTCAACGCCCTCATTATAGGGATCAAAAGTTCATATTTTTCTTTTAATTTGTAAATATGTGTTCAATCATCAATCAAGTTCATAAAGTTGCCTTAAATCGCTGAGATATGTTGATATTTCTATTGAAAATTAAGTGTTCGACCTCCATCAAAGGTCGTTTTCAACCCTCATGTAAAAGCTTTACACATTTGAAGATTGTCATTGTATTTATTATACAGTCACATGAAAAAGAAAGTACATTCTCTTTGTATGTATCAAGACACAATAAAAATAATAACCTGGTGCTTGAATACAACCTCAGGTGAACAGCAGTGACTTTTAACACTGTGTCATTATTTATTTAATGATAGCTGGTGATGGTTATGTGTATGACTTTCAGTGTCTCACATAATTGTGGAGGAATTTTGGCCAACTCCTCTTTACAAAGTCATTGAAGTTCACTTTGCACACTCCTGCCGTCCAGCAGGCGGTTCAGGAGCATTCAGACCTGCACTAGCAGACACAGGAATAGTTTCTACCCACAAGCCACCAGGCTGTAGAACTGCTGACATTCTGTACACACCATTACACACTCACGACAATTACAGGACTCTACACACGGTCACTTCAACAAATATTTCTTAAATGCTCATTGCACAAGTTTTTGCACAAACTGTAAATACCAACAATTGTCTCAAATTCTCTAAATTTAATACTGTAGTATTTTGTTTTTATTATATTTTATTATTATTACCATAATTTTCTTGTTAATTTCTTCTTAAATATAACGGCACACTTTCTACATGCTCATGCAAAGCTGAGGAGCACGAGCCAAAGAAGTGGTTACACTGTTTATCTGTGTATGACCATAAAACGTGAAACTTGAAGTTGGGCATTAATTTATCCACAGTTCTTTTAAAGTTTCACCGCAACATTTCAATCAGGTTTGACTGGGCTATTGCAACACTTTGGTACTCTGTTCTTTTCAGATTTGCTGCTGAGCTTTGGTATTCATGCTCTGTGCATCATGTCCGTCCAAATATCTTCACTTTGGTCTTGGCTGTTCCAGAAATCTTGCTGTTGTGCAAATCCAACTTTGCAAAGCTAACGTCTGCTGCTGTGTTCTTTTTGGACAGAAGAGGTTCTTTGCTCATAACTCTTTCAAACAAGCCTTACACATTTAGTCTTTTTCTAACTGTAACTTTAATTTATAACAAAGTAACAGAGGCTCGTAGAGTCTGAGATGCAGCTCTTAAAGTATTTTTGCAGCTCCTCTGAGCACTGTTTGATCGGACCTTGGGGACGTCCACTCCGGGGAAGGTTGGCAACTGTCTTGAATGTTTTCCACTTGTGTATGAGCTTTCTCACTGTAGAACCATGCACTGCATATTGTTTGGAAATGGCCTTTTAACCCATCTCAGATAGATGAACAGCAATAAATGCCTCTCTAAGATCAGTGTTTTCCTCCTTTGGATTGTGTTAACAGACAGCTGAATGCTCAAGCAAACTGCCAAAAATGTCTGCTTTCATAGAGCCGCTCACGCTTGCTGATGATCACTTCAGCGAATAGATTTGATCAGCAGCGCTTGGGTGTTACTTACTCTCTAGATCTCTATGAAAGCAGTCCACTTCTGGATTATGCTTTTATTTCTGTTAAATTAAATGGCACAGTGTAATATGTCACATGTCCTTGTTCATCTAAAATTATATTAACACCTGTTAAAATCACTAAAACCTTTGACGTTTCACATGGTTGTATTAGAAAAAAACAGTTTTGTTTCACGCTTACGACTCCGTACGACATTTGAAAAACATCTGAGTTTATGAAAATTTTTCTTTTTTTTATCATTTTTGGAAACAAACTCTTTAAAGTTTAAATTAAACAGCGTGTCACCAACCCGTTCTCAGAGGAATCACGGGGTATTTCCAAGAGAACAAAGTGAAGAGAAAAGAAGAGCTTTGAAGAGTCGATTTGTTTACAGAGGGAACATTACCCCTCTCTGCACGCCTTTCATTTCCTCCACTATGAAACTATCCTGTTTTTTTCCTCTCTCTCCACTTTGTGAAGGAAAATTTAATCACCGAGGTCAGGGCAGCACGTCTGCTACCAAACATAAAAATAACATCTGAACGTCCGAACTCACGTCTACTGATTTGTAATTGATTCATATAATAAATTATAATCTGTTGTGTCTCGGTAATGCTGTACATCTATTTTGTTTTATAAGCGTGTGCTGAATCACTGCAGAGCTCATTTTCCCCATGATTGCATATCTAAACAGGATGTATGGGGATATCAGCATCGAAGGATATGGGAGTTATTTTTGCTCCAGAGATATGAGCAGCAAGATTAGCGTGCTTTCCAAGAGGTTTTGCTGAATGCAATTAGTATTGGAAATGTATAATTTCCCCTTGTGTGTCGCATCAGTACTACTTTCTGTATAATAATTCTTCCATCTGTATGATTAAAAAAACATTTATTCAGCATCTGCTGCTAAAGATCAGTCTTTGAACCATTGCTGCTTTGTTGTCCACTGACTGAGCAAGTGTCTGGCTATGGCAATGGGAAATTAGTGATCAGTAAGACAATAAAGACAATAAAGCAATAAAGACAGCTAAAGTGAAAAAAAACTAAATATGTAATAAGTGTGTAGAGTCACTGTTAAACCTTGTCTAGCTTTGTAAAACTGTAAAGAGGTAAAAATCAGTCTGTAAGTGTTTTTATTGGAATATGTTTACCTCCAGTGGACTGTTTCCAATGGTCCACCTTAACTTTTAACCTCTTAAGCCCCAAAGTGGTTTCTGAGCTTCCTGCTCAAAAATGAAATGCCCAAAATTAATTCATTATTTCTCTGCAATTACAAACTCTGTGCTTACAATCTTGGTATCAAAATAAAGCTGACTCTTGTGAACTTTCATCAGAGGTGTAAATATTGCAGCAAATATTACTGTGTCAAAGGTACTGAGACTGGAACACAGAAAAAGTTAGTAGATTTTATCCTCACCTAATTTTTTAATTTACTTTTTTTTTTTTTTAGCATATAACTCTTTTAAAAATATGCCTCAGTTCACATTTCATTGCAGAAATTAAGTAACCAACATATAAACATCATCTGTGCAAAGATTTATGTTTCTAACGTGAAACAGTGAAAAATTACTGCACCGTAAATACATGAATATCCAGACGTTGAACAAAAAATGTCCAACTCTGGCACACAATGGACACCATGCCAGTTTAATTTTTTAGGTATTAAAGAGCAGAAATTATTTAATTTTATTAACAGGCCTAAATACGGAAGAGGATTAGGGCCACTGGAAAAAAACAAAACAATTCTGACTTTAATCTCAGAATTCTGAGATTAAAGTCAGAATTCTGACTTTTTTTTCCAGTGGCCCAAATCCTCTTCCGTATTTAGGCCTGTTCCTCCTCTTCCGTACCTAAAAATGCTTTTTTTTAAAAATATATATTTGTGAAGAATTAACCACACATTTACATGGCAATGGCCCTTTTCTGCCGTCCTCTGGCCCTTTAAACTCTGAGAGGCTGTAACTTTGGTTTCTTTTGGTCAATTTGCATGATTGACACCACCTGAGCCAATAGGATCACAGTAACGGTGACACTTCGGGTCACTTCAACCAATCAGATGTTTTGAGGTCAAATCTCAGCTGGGCACAAATTTACTTCATGTGGCGTCTGTCCAGGTGTCTGCAGGTGGGTCTAAAATGGAGCTTGTTGATGGAAAACGGCTCTGATGCAGCTAGGTAGGTAACTGCTGATAATCAAGTGGCTAACGGCTACCGATGAAAATAACGAAATCGGAAGCCAATTTCTGTCTTAGCGCATTTGTGTTTGTGTGGTCTTCTTTTGTGGCTCATTCAGTGAATTTTGGTCTGATCGTGGTGAAACTTGGTGTTTGGAGTCAGTAATAGCTCTGGAAGATAACCAGCCTTTCTATAGCCGGTTACATGAAGTTTGAAGGATTTCTGGCTCGGTTTTGTTTGTTTAGCGGACTTGTGCACATTTACTTAACTGCTTGTTTAATCATGGCTTGTTGTCGTTTTGTTTGGTGGGTGTAGAAAGTGTTTATATGAGATTTTAGCTGAGATTCAGAGGTTTTTGTGGATACCGCACATGTCAGAACATATATTTCTGACCCCGTGTTATAACCGATTAAACGTGATCTCCTCCTTTTTGCCCCCGGTACCGGGGGCATGGGGCTTAAGTGCCTGGAAGTTAAATTCTGTATGTTTTTCTAATGAGTACTATTATAGTCCCTTCGCACAGAAGTGTCTCAATTTTGAAATGAGTATTTTCAACAGCTTTTATTTTTTGCTCCTCTGCTCAGTAGGACATGAAACTGTATATTGAGACACCAATCAAATCTGATTAAAGTGAGATTTTAAAAAGCTTCATAATTGTTTCAACAAGCTCGTGGTAGCTCCGTTAATGTCTCCGGTCTAATCACCGCCTGTTAGCTGTATTCATATCACCATTATTAACTGTGTTTTATGAGGTTTTGTGGATGTGGGGATTGTGTTCTTGGGATATTCTGCTGCCATGGGGGCCAGTTAGCTGCACACTGAAGCTGGCAGAGCCTGAGCCGGACTGTTCACGGCACCGTGCACTGCTGGAGAGCTTCCATAGAAATGTGAGTGTGATTACATAATGTTAGAGCGACTTGCAAACAGTTTTGGGATTAATGCCCTACAGATTAATTAGCTAAATTCTCAAATGCGCTTCTGTTGTGACAAGAAGCTTAAAGTAACGCGGTGGTTTTGAAATTTAAAAACATTATAAATAATGTATTGTGATGGATTTTAAAAAAAAAATGTTATCCTGTAATGAAAAATGCTCAGTTTCCTCATATACTGTAAACTGGTAACTGAGCAGGTGCATGACTTTCCCCCCTACATGACATAAAACCTTGACCTTAATCATATTTAAACACTCAGCTGTCTGCACGTTGATAATGAAGTCCTCCCTATGGAAACATGTGGAGTGGCCTTGTCACAGAACTGGGTCACAGACCCAGTGCTTTGTGTTTATTGGTGAACTGATAGTTCTGATTATTATTATTATGATTTATGCTTTTCTGCTTATGTTACATCTTCAGTCCTTGGATTGTGGTTTCTGTTTTGTATCATCTCTGGGCTTCAGGTTCCTATGTTTCCACGTCTTAGTGTCCAGTCTGCGTCTTGGTGCTTTGTCTCAGTTTCTTGTTTTACTTTTGTAGTCCTTGTCCCATGTTTATGGTTTCAGTTCTGCTTCCCCGTGTCTCATCATGAGTGCATTTTCCCAGCTGTGTGTTCATCCGTCGTCCTGTGTCGTCAGGTTATGACATGCTACGCCATGTATTCCCAGTTTAGTTAAACTCTCCTAGTTTGAGTTTTGTTTTTGCTTAGTACTCATGTGTTGTGTTGCTAAGTTTGTTTTGCCAGCAAATAAAGCTGCTGCCTTTAAGTTAAAAATTCCATCTCTGAGTCCTGCGCTTGGGCCCAACCACTGCCAGCCACACAGCTCACTGTGACAACACAAGGACTGCAGCTCCCACAGACGTCTTCTCTGAACCTGAAATGAACAAATTCTGGCCTCAACCTTGCGACTTTAAATTAAATTTACATCGTATTCTCGTGTGTCAGGAGTGTCGACAGCTCGTTACTGAGCAGAAATCACCGTTGTAGTGGGAAGTGATTGTCCCCCCGTCCCCAGCAGCAACCAAGGAGAAAGATGAATCCATTTAAAATTGTGATTTCTTTTGTTTTCCTACAGAGGAGAATTGGTTTTCACAGCGGTGGTGAGCAAAACTATTGTTAAAATATCTTTCTATACTTTAAACCCTGCTCCTCATCTCCACTGTGCTACCTTTGGCATGACAGTTCCTGAGTGCTGTGTGGGGAGGTCTCCCATTTATTCCAAAGGTTTGTTTCACTGCCTCCACAGTTAGCTTCAGCGAGCTTTGTGAAGCGGCACAAGAAGCAGCTGTCCACCCGCTGGCAAAAAAGTTGTCCCCAACGTGTGCAGTGTTTTCCTTGCCAATTTTCTACTGTGTATTTGTGGCGTTTATTTATGATCAGATATAGCGATTTCCTTTGGGAGCCACACCTGCTTTGCTCTTGGTTCCCCCCTGCACCCCACAAACATCCTGGAAAAAATGCTGTGTGAAAGCGTATTTGCTGATCCATAGTTCAGTTTCGTGTGGCCCACCTCCTCCCACACACACACTAATCTAAGACACAAAAAGCAAGTTGCAGTCACAAATCTCCTTGGCTGCCACTGACACTGCCTCATCCATCCAGAAGCAGAATACTGTGGTGTCAGCGTGATCCGTGTGGGAGTACCAACAGTTCACAACCCGACCAACTTCCGCAGCACTGCAGCGTAACGGCATAAGGAGAAGGCACACAAGTTCAGCAGTCATCTCCCCTTCCTTTTGCTGTGTTTTCTGACCAGCTCTGCTGAATCTTCACTTGTCTGTATTTTAACACAAGGAGGCGGTTTGAAGAATCATCATTAATGATTCCCTTCGGCTTTAGGATGGATTTTAGCATCTTGAAGTCCAATGCTTCAGCCTTGTTGCTGTTTAGTTACATTGGTTCTTAAACTGTGGGGCGGTGGTGAGGTGAGTTGTGGGTGGACAGGAGAGAAATATAAAGTGGAACTACGTAGAGTGAATTTAATTTTTTAAGGGGAGATGATTAAAACAGAGGTTGATGATGCTGTGGTGCTGATTTCACTACTGTTCATCTTAGATCACAGGGTGGTGAAGTGGGGCATGCCAGCAAAGGTTTGAACCACTGCATTAGATCATTGCTATTATCACTGTGGGTTTAATAGCAACTCCAAATCAGCACTGAATACTCACATTCCTGTGCTTAACTGTGGACTTCAGTCCTATTAATGCACTGTCCCAGTTCACAGTGAAGTATCACCTTCAATCACTAAATTAAAAGTAACTAAATATGGCTCATAATGTAAACAGCAGGGATGGCAAAACCATAAAATGCTCTTTTCTCCTGCTGGTCAGGATAAGAAGGAACCCTGTGGCTCCTTTCCTGGGTTATTATGAGATTTCCCACTGTAGTAATTATCTGCCAGATCGCTGAGCCACTCCTTTCTGCTTCATTTACAGTCTGTCTGAAGTAACAGGGTGTGCTCAGTGAGAAGTTTCCTTTTTTAACACAGGAGAATGTCAAAGATGTGTTGACTTTGAGCTTCTTGGCTGCTATATCGCATATGGAAGAAAAGCTTTTCTACGTGGTCCTTCTTAATCTAGAACTGCAGGAAAACAAAAACAGGTATAACAAATGTTTTATAACTGCTGAAACAAAGAGCTACAAGAACCCTAGTGTAGATCTAGGCAGCATTTGCAGTGAGGGTGACACAAAATCACTGTTCATCAGTCTATACATGGAGGTTACAAACACACTAATCAAGATTTAATGCATGGCAACGTTCCACCCAAATCTAATAAGATTAAAATTATTACAGTAAATGTCTAATAGTACAAAAAGAAATTATATTTTATATCCAAAATGTCAAACCTGAAAAGAAATGAATGAAAACTGCTATTTGACTGGTAAGCCAGAGGTTTACAGCAAAAGCGGGAGTTCTCAAATTTTATACCTGATGCTTAGATTGCATGTGTGGTGGGTAAAATTAAGCATTACTATGGATAATTTGCAAGTATCAGATGGTGTGCAAAAAACAGAAAAGGTTAAAATGTTACCCATGAAACACCTTATTACTCAGCGACTGCCATCTTGGCTACATACAACAATGGAAGTGTACACCAAACAATGTACAGCCTGTTGAAGGTGTATATAGCGAGTTCACTCACTTGGCCCACGTCCTCATTTTAGGTTTGACAGCATTTTAGTAGATGAAGGTGAACGGCTTGGACATGAATTGAGCTGCTGTTTGGGGAAGGCCTCAAAGGGGACTGGCGGCGGCTCCGGGACCTGGCAGATCCCCATGCTCTAAACAGAAGTTAAAGAATTGAAAAGGCTAGGGAGGGTGGGGCACGTAAACAAGAACAAACAGATTGTAGAACTGGGGGAACATATATAGATAAGAACCGGAAGGAGTGTGTTTGGAGGCGTGGTCCTGCTCCTGAAATTCAGATACTTTGTCTCCAACTAGAACTGCCAATAATGTTAGTTCTAGCTAGCTAGCTGTTAGCTAGGAGCCAGGACCTTGCCTGTAAATTCATGTACTACACAAAGAAATACAAATGAGGATGGTGCATTAAAAGCATGCTAATCCAAGCTGAGACACTGAGTTTAAATGGGTCAGGCTTTGTTGCCCAGTTGCAGTGATGCTGGAATCTGGTTCTGTGAACCAGAACTGGTTTGCCAAAGAGAAGAAACTGACTCTTTTTAAAGTGTAAAAATTGCACTTGAGGTAACCATCGTTGTTGGACACAAAGCCACTGTGGTTCATGTGAGCCAGTAGACTTAATCAACATCGGTTTTACAGCCTTTTCTCTAAGTCGAGACATTACCAGAGTCTGCAGTACAGCACCAAAGTAAGAGCTGTGGTGGAGCGTCTGAGTTACATCATTAAGGTTTCTTCTAATGAAAGAGAGACACTGTGGAAAACTACTGGAACTGGACGTATTCACATCTTTTAATTTGAAAATCCATGGTTATGTTAACGATTAGATTTGAACTTATACGAATGTCAGCTATCAGCAATGTCTCCATCCCCTTTGATCGCAGCTGATACAGGCTTTCATCATTTGAATATTTCATAATTTTAACAAATAAAAGCAGCATTTTGTGTTTGGAGACTAATATGTAAATGTGACATTTGATGGTGTGCATCCTGACTTTTAATGATCTGCTTGGAAGCATCTGTACCAATCAGTGAGGATTATTTGAAACTGTTTAAGTGCTTCTCTTAAATTTTCTGCAGCCACTGAGGACATTTGCATCAATTATGACCAACAGGAAAAACTGGTGTGATATGTCAGTCTTTTATTGTAAGTGCACAGCTGATTAGTTTCATCAGAGAAGTTCACATAGATATCACATTTCTACAATTACAGTATATTCTATTATAGATGACTCTTGGTTCTGTACACACCTAAGACACAGCAGTGCTTAAGGCTATATATTCTGTCGAACATGCTGTAGTTTACAGTATTAACATTATCGCCGTGAAGAACATCCCAAGTATGTGATGGTGCTTCCTTTTGTTTAGAGCAGGGGTGTCCAACTCCAGGCCTCGAGGGCCGGTGTCCTAAGATGTGTCCTTGATCCAACACAGCTGATTTAAATGGCTAAATGACCTCCTCAACATGTCTTGAAGTTCTCCAGAAGCCTGGTAATGAACTAATCATTTGATTCAGGTGTGTTGAGCCAGAGTGAGAGCTAAAACCTGCAGGATACCGGCCCTTGAGACCTGGAGTTGGACACCCCTGATTTAGAGAAAACAACAGATATTGTATGCATATTAGCTTTAAGACGTTCCAAACCTGCGGTGCTTTGGGTTCCTTGAGGGGAAAAATGTTCAGTTCACGAGTCCTGGACAAACGCACACACCCTGACAGCTAATGTCAAAGGAACATAGTAGACTTGATCGTAAGGATTGCTTGCAAGACAGAGACGGACAGCTTTGTAGATCTGTCTGGAACCAAAATGAGTGAAACACAGTAGATCTACGTTTATCTAAAAGGAGTCCTCTGCTCGTGAAGTTCTTTGACTGCTGCTGACAGAATAGTACAACAGCCCCCTGCACATGAGATAGAAACAGGAAACTCTAAATCTTACTGTGCAATGTCAAAGTTTTGGATTCCCTGCATGTTAAATAGGAGAGCGTGCATGAATCATTTTCTGGATACTCTCTGGTTTGTTTAATATGTCAGTTTGTTTGATGAAAGAATAAAAGAAAAAAAAATTAAGAACCTTGCCATGTTCCTGATCCTTTGTGATCTTAGCTCAGGGGTGGGCAATCTCAGTCCTCGAGGGCCGTTGTCCCTGCAGGTTTTAGATGTGTCCTCGAACCAACACAGCTGATTTAAATGGTTAAATTAGCTCCTCAACATGTCCTGAAGTTCTCCAGAGGCCTGGTAACGAACTAATCATTTGATTCAGGTGTGTTGACCCAAGGTGAGATCTAAAACCTGCAGGGACACCGGCCCTCGTGGACTGAGATTGCCCACCCCTGTCTTAGCTAGTCGACATGACTCATCAATGTCTGTCATCTCAATCCAAAAGCATTTCAGTTTTTTATTAGTGAGAAATCATCTTTTATGGCTCCCAAGCCAAGTGTCATTCGCTGTCTCTTACAGCCTGAAAAGACAGTGCACTTGGATTTTATTTTTTTTCATCGAATAACAATTAGAGAATAACAGAAGAACACATTTCACACTTAAATCAGTCATCGTCCACTGATGGTCCAAAACATTTGAGCGAGAAAAGCAATTTTGTTCCTGTCATCAGGCGGTAGCATGGCTCTTCCCTAGCTGCTGATCTTGGTCAGCATCTTGTTGATGGCCTGTTTGACATGAGTGGTGGAGCTGCGGCGTCTGGCTTTTCCCTGAACAGCTTTGCGGCGTCTCACCTCTCTGCAGAGCTCGTGGAACGCCTCGGCCACAGCGCCGCCCTCGTCGGCACAGGCAGAGCATTCGTAGAAGGCACACGCCATTTCGGCTGCCAGCCGCTCTCCTTCCTCTGTGCCGACTTGCCGGACGTGGTCCAGGTCAGACTTGTTGCCCACCAGAACCAGAGGAACGTTCTTCGGTTTCTTCACCTCCTCTAGGAGGCTTCGGAGCGGCCCCACCTCCTCAAAGCTTCCCCGATCCGTGATGTCATACACAAGGACAAAGCCGTCACCCCAACGCATGTGACCCTCCCTCTGCTGGATGTCCTCCTGAGAAGAAGACAAGACACATGGTGCTGAAGCTGATGATTTAGAGTTTTACAGATTTTCCCATGTTTTTAAATAAAATGATGATGTAATGATGATTCATATCTATTTTATGTGTGAAGCTTTAAGTCTGTAGAGACTTTGCTGAACAAATCCATGTTAGCAGTTCCAGTTTCCAGTTCCTAAATTAAGCTAAACAACTGTAGCTTTTTGTTTTTGTTTTGTTTTTTTTTTACTGTAAAATTATCATAAAACACCAACCAAAGAAAATCTCAGGTAAAAATAACAGACGGAGCAGCTGGAGAATTTCAGATGTGCTGCCTTTACCTTTGGGTCCAGTGAAGCTGTTAAAGTCATACTAGCATTTTCCTGTTTGTAGATTTATGTTGATAATGTAGTTTCTCTCTAATTTTCCCACCAAGAAAACTTTTCATTTAATATTTTTGACTCAAATATTATTTAAACAGAACAGGCTGCAGTCAGCTTCTTTAATGTGCATATACATTTTTAGCTCTTGTTGTGTTTAAACATAAAAAGACGTGTAGTCCTTTCTGATCTAAGAATCATGTTTAGTTCCTAACATTATCTTTGCACTCTGCCACACCCTCTTAAGCCCTACATTGAATTCTGCAGCCATCTGTGGAATGCAAACACTCGAGCATGTGCTTTTAATTTGATCATGTGGCGGCAGAATCATCCATGACCGATCACACAAGACCTGCTTGGACTGGATGGAGGCCCAAAGGCTCTGATCTCACAGTTACCGACAGAGGAAGCTGAACAATTTATCGAAGAGTGGCCACATTTTTCAAAAATAGAATATTATGAACCTGAATGGGGGGGGAAATAAAAACGTTTTGCATGTGTATAATATACAAACAATATATATCTGATACCGTATGGTGCTGAAAACATTAGATATATTTAATGAATATTCATTTTAAAAAGGCACATTTACTGGATTTGGAATTTCAGATTTGCTTCCGTTGTTTGGTTGTTTAATTGTCTTTTAAAAAACATTTTTAAAACAGAAAATCTATCAGAGTGCAAGCAACAGATGTTTCTGTAATGTTCTTTATATATATACATATAATTATACATCCAAATATGCTAAATAAATAAATAAATTAATAATAATAATAATAATTTATTTCTAACCCATTTTAAACATTAAGGAATGATTTTGTTGGAAGGAAGTTTTTTGATTATGTAATTTTCTTGTACCAGATGCCAGAAAACGACTTGAAAATACTACATTCCTCCTCCAGAGGACAGATGAGTTTGACGTTTGTGAACCTGGCCGCCTTCTGAACTTAAGACTCCACCTCCATAAATTACGAGAGTTAGCACAATGCTTTGATACAATCATAGCCGTGAGAGGTCTGACATTCACTGAAGTCGTGTCTGGAAACATTCAGACCTCATCCTAATGCCAGCTGAAAATAGACTACATTGTAATGAGAGCAAGAGAGAGAGATGGCTTGGCTAAAGTGTCGCAGGGGAAATCAGCCGCCAGCAGAACACCTACGCAGCAGTGCAGCATATTTATCTTCAGCCCAAGGACTTACGCAAGCTCTCGCTCATGGTCAGAACCTGGCAATACATCTATTATACTCCAGGAAATTAACATCTTTAAGTGCCATCCACTCTCACATCCAGCCAAACAATTCTTCAAAACAGTGTTGAATATCTCTGAATAAAACACCTGAATAATCAGAGGACAAGTTAACTGAATGATGTCTTTTCCATCTATTTCAGTCACATTCACATTCATATTTAATTAAAGTACATTTCAGAGTTGAAAAACACTTGACAAACACTTTTTCAGTCGACATAGACAGTGGGCTGTACACCTACTTTTGGCACAAAGAAACAACTGTGAAAATGAATGATGCAGAAAGACTTGTTATTTTTTTTATTTTTTACAGACAGTTAGTTGGCATAAGGACTGAAGATGATTCATAAAGTGGATAAATGCTTGTTTTGTTATAAAGGCTTTGTCACAGTCTCAAAGGCCTAGAGCAGGGGTCCCCAACTCCAGGCCTCGAGTGCCGGTGTCCTGCAGGTTTTAGATCGCACCCTGGGTTAACACACCTGAATCAAATGATTAGTTCATTACCAGGCCTCTGGAGAACTTCAAGAAATGCTGAGGAGTCATTTAGCCCTTTAAATCAGCTGTGATGGATCATGGATCACCGGCACTCGAGGCCTGGAGTTGCCTACCCCTGGCCTAGAGACTGGTTGGAGACTCCCGGCAACCATCTGTCACTAAGAAAAATGTGTATCGCCCAACCAGTAGGTAAGTGATTTCCAGAGGTTGTTGAGTGTCTTTGAAATCAGTTGCTAAAGGCCCAGTTAAACACCTGTCACACAGAGAAAAATGTGTATCCCATGACTGGTTTCTTGAAGTTGCAAACACTTCTCCAAAGTAAAAGTTGCATCTTTTGAAAGTTGTTGGTTTCAGCCATAAGGCAAAACCTTTACTTTGGAGGTGTACTTTCTGTGTTTCCAGTTCATACTTATTTGGGGAGTGTTTCAAGACAAGCTGGTGTCTTCCAAACAACGACATGTAAACTACATGTGGCTGCTAACGAGCAAGGCAATAACTAGTTTAGCACCCTGTTGGCAACCTATTTCACCCTATGACAGCCAGCAACCTCCAGAACCACTCCAGAGTAGTTTTCCCTTGTGACCGGACGTTGCCGAGAGGTTGCCAACTTTTTTCTGGGCCTCTGCAACTGTGCAAACATCTAAAGAAATGCCATGAAATGTTTGATCTCACTACCACCCAGAGACTACCCAGTGTAATCAAAAACAGCAACATAGGCGATAAACTACTGAAAAAAGTTACCTGACAAATTGTCTCACCTGGCCTGCAGTGTCCAGAATCTCCATGGTGACAGCCTCATCGTCGATATTGGCTTGATGACGATATGTTGATTCTGCAAGGCAAAAAATGTGAGGAAATATTTTATGCAGCATTCAAAAAAAGAACTAAAGTGAGTCATTACTGGAAAACTGTGACACTTCCTAACATGGGAGTGGAACTCATCGTTATGTATTCTTTGTGAGTTAACAAATCAGTATCACTGTGAGGGCGGGCAGATTTTCAATGTGTTTGCAATACTCTTTTCACTCGTGATTATAATTCCACCTACTATTCTTTTGAATATTCAGACGATGACACATAAAAGTGATGATTACTGTTTGCAAGAAGCTTACTCACAATAAAACCCTGCATCTTATCTAAGCTGTAATTTTATCTAAAATATGTTGGTGACAGGGCTGCTGGTGAGAAGTTTCAGGAAACTTGCAGGACTGACGCAGTTTACTGCATCACTGTAGCCTTCTTAAAACAACGCGCAACACATCAGAAACACATAGCAGATACCTTTCAGTGACGGCTCCAAACTCTCATGCTAGTTATAAAAACATAATGTGACAAAAAAACAAACATGTACTGCAAATGTCTGTGAAGGTTCTCAGCCAAAATGTTCCCATTTTGGACAGATGGTTTGAAAGAGGAGTGAAAGACGCCATCTATGTCTACTGTGAGCGACCATCTTTGAACAGAGGCGGGCTTACGACACCAACTGTCTGCCATCTATAATCCAGTTTTGAGAGCCTTTCCCAGACGCCTTAACGCCCACTTACATCCTGGGCCATCTGACCTCAGGAAATCACATGATAGGGTGGGGCTAGGCTTCTCAATGAGCTCACCAGGAACCTTGGCTGGTTGTGACCTACACCTGTTTTCACACCTTGGCTCGTGTGATTAGGTAGAGGATCAATAGGGGGTCCATGTCCCTTTTGGGGGGGGGGGACACTCCCACAGGGCTTAAATCTGGGACTCTCCACATTTGACTGTAGAACTGAAGAAGCTTCTTGAATGAGAGTTGAAACGTCTTCAAGCAGCTTGAAGAAGTCCAGACGCTTTTCTTTTCAAGCTCCTTAGACTTCACTGCAAATGTTTTAGAAGTGTGGGCATCACAAAAAGCCAGTCAGAGTGACGAACATGATTACATGCTACTAGCCAGCTAGTAATATATGGTTGTGATCAGACGTTAATATACACTCTTCATGTGCATGATGACTGTCATGGGAATTTTAGGCTTTTAATGCTTTTTTTGGGACTGTTTTTTCCCCAGGGTGGAATGCATGCACCCTTGAGGCGACTTATGTTGTGATTTGGCGCTATATAAATAAAATTGAATTGAATTGAATGTAATGATGTGAAGCTTGTTGATGGCTACCAAAAGCATCTGGTTAAGGTGCAAAGTTGCATGTAACAGACACCGGTACTCCGTGCACATTTTGTACACACGTGTAGAAGTTGCAGTAAGCTGCAGCAACAGCAGAGGGAGATGTTTTATTTCATGAAAATAGTTATTGAAAAGTGTTTAAACAGACGTTATTAACGCATTTACATCTAAATACATATTAGCCTTTCTGGCAATTAAGGAGCCAGAAAGGATTAAGCTTATGTTTTTTGCTGAAAAATAAAATAAAAAAAGTAAAGCGCCTCGTGGCGACTGCTGTTGTGTTGTGCTATATAAATAAAATTGAATTAAACAGAATCTCCACCCTTAAAATGACTGCAACTGTAGCTCATCTGCAACAGTGGGTTGTTTATTAGTTACCATGGGGTCATTTTCTAGTTCTAGTCCTTTCAGGTCATAAACCTCTTTACACTTTGACCCTCTGTTTGCTGATGATAAAAGCCAGGCAGGCAGTGCAATCCCCCCTGTTTGACACAGTCAGAGCAAAGGCATTTGGGTTTACAGCTTCCCTTTAGAGACATTAGCTAGTTGTCATTGGCACCACATTTGTTTTTGAGGAACCATGTATTAAACATGTTCATGCCTGAGATGGGAGAGCATCATTTTTAGGTCAAAACAGCTGCTTTTTGCCTGGTTCAGACAGATGCTGATTAGCTTGAAGAGAGAACACTCTTTCTCTTCTGCTTACATTTTGGGGACAGGTTTTTCCCAGCATGCTGTCAGACTCTCCTGGTTGCAGGGTGAAGTTTGACTCTTGCAATGACCTGAAAACAGTCTGAGCTTCGCCTCTCTGTGATTTGAAAAACAGTCTGAGCTTCGCCTCTCGGTGATTTGAAAAACAGGATGAGAACTCTGTATTGCCGGCACAGGTGTGAACTGTGACTGTGACCTTTCATTTGACCTCAGTCAGAGAGCAGGTTATCTGCCCGCCCCCCTTCGCTGTCATAAAATCCCATCTGTAAACACCTCGCAGGCAGGATCAAGGCTCCCTGAAACCTTTTTTGTGCAGGCAAACTGCTGGGATTTTCCATCGCATGACATTTTCCATGTCAGGGCTTAAACCGATGCTTTCTTCTAGCATTCTGAGTGATTTCACAAAAAATCTCTTACCTCTGCTATCATGTACACAGAGGTCCAGGATTCCTGACTCATTTGTCCCAATGTCTAAAAATGAGCAAGTACTCCATGTGCCAGTCACAAAGACTGCAGTTCATCTTTACACATAATTTGAAATGTTATTTTGTTTGTTGCTCCCAAACGTCATAAAAATGCAGTGTGCATTTTATTTAAGCCATCGCAGAGTTTTGTTACTGAGTGTTTGAACCTTTCAGACTAGACAAACACGAGGAACACGCTAACATGACACACAGGAACGAAAGCTGCGCCCACATTGGAAGGAATGAACTTCAAACCAGCTAAACTGTGTAACAGTTTGTAACACTACAAAGTCCGATTGTGCTTCTGTTTATATATTTACTGATTCTTCTGGCATGATAGTTGTAAAAGTTCTGGGAATCGTCCCATAAACATAAAAAAATCTGTCCAGTCTCTCATTCAAGATCATCTTCGTGTGCATCCCTGGACTGCTTTCAGCAGGGCAGTTATTTTTAGATTATTTCTGGAGCTCTGTGCCAGCTTTAATTTCACTACAGTCCTCAAACTTCCAAGGTCTTTATGGACCATGACAGGTCAGGATCACAACCAGGAGCGTAGTTTTAGTCATAGTTTTTTTTCCTCTTTCACTGTACACTGTGAATTCAGACTAATAAAGCAGAAATCTACTGCTTCTATTGCCACTGTGTCAAAGTATACAATGCATTTAAAAAAAAAAAAAAAAAAAAAGAAACACACCCTTCAGTCACCAGCCAACATACCCTGGAAGTCCAGCCACTTCCACAAAATGAAAGTTAAGTTTTAGAATTTGGCAATGTGTCGGTGTCAGTAGTGCGATTTCCAGGGAGTGATCTACACAACTGCACTGGACGTTTGTCAAAAACACACCAAAAGGGGCCCATTGAAAAGGTTAAGGTGTTTGATTTATTTATGTTTTGGTTTTAACTACATACGACCGTTTTCTATTAACCTAAAGCACTACACATTTGATACCAATGAAAAGAACTTTCATAGTATTAAAAGAAAATCTTTGAAGATAAGTTCTAAAGTATCACTTCAATCGAATTAAATGCTGTATTTCAAATGTTTTATTGTGACTAAAAAAAAGATTAGGTCTTATTACTTTAAACACCCAAGCCAACAAACGATGGAGAGGACCTGTCAGACTGATGTTCAGATTCTATCTCATGAGAGAGTTTAAAATGACAGGTCCTGCAAGGCCCCCTCTGCTGTGTGCCAGGTGTGCTCACCTCTCCGGGGGGGATAAATTGTGTTGTGTGATGTAAATGAAATGTCACAGGGAGCCAGAGGAGGAAGCAACTGACGCAGCTGTTTGGCTGCATTCACAAGGAGCCTCCTTAAGGAGAACCAGAGTCACGCTGTGCCTCGTGGGACAGCCTATTTCAGGAGCCAGCTCCCTGTCAGCTCCCAATCTGTCCACGTCCATACCCCAGTGTATCTGTTGATAAAAGCACTGGCAGGAGGCAGTGCTGGTGGTATGATTTAAGCAGGCTCACCATCCTTTGTAATCAGAATCAGAATCAGAAAGGGTTTTATTGCCAAATGTTGAGCAGGTTAACAACATTAGGAAATTGCTGCGGTGCTTCAGTGCAAACATACTGTCATAAATTACGCTTAAATAGACATGAAAATAAAAATAAGAATAAGAATTAAAAGTGCTACGTAGATAGATATATACATGAGTGCAGGTGGTGATCAGTGCCAAACATGGAATGATGCAGTGAACACAGCGTAGGGTCATGTGTTAGTGGTGGGAACAGTCATACGTTATTGTTCATGTGTCCAACAGCAGAGGGGAAGAAACTGTTCTTATGGCGAGAGGTTCTGGTGCGAATGGACCGGAGCCTCCTGCCTGAGGGGAGCAGGTCAAACAGACTGTGTCCAGGGTGAGAAGGGTCAGCTGAGATCCGAGCTGCACGCCGCAGTGTCCTGGAGGTGTACAGGTCCTGCAGAGATGGGAGTCTGCAGCCAATCACCTTCTCAGCAGAGCGCACAACACGCTGCAGTCTCTGTTTGTCCCTGATAGTGGCTCCAGCGTACCACACGGTGATGGAGGAGGTGAGGATGGACTCGATGATTGCAGTGTAGAACTGCATCATCGTCCGTGTTGGCAGGTTGAATTTCTTCAGCTGCCTCAGGAAGTACATCCTCTGCTGGGCTTTCTTGATGACGGAGGTGATGGTGGGCTCCCACTTCAGGTCCTGGGTGATGGTGGTACCCAGGAAGCGGAATGAGTCCACAGAGGTGATGGGGGTGTCAGTCAGGATGATGGGGGGGAGTGGGGCTGTGTGCTTCCTGAAGTCCACAATAATCTCCACTGTCTTCTGGGCATTCAGCACCAGGTTGTTGTGGCTGCACCAGGACACCAGACGTTCAACCTCCCTCCTGTAGGCAGACTCATCCCCGTCCGAGATGAGTCCAATAACGGTGGTGTCATCTGCAAACTTGATTAGCTTGACAGACTGGTGGGTGGAGGTGCAGCAGTTGGTGTACAGGGAGAAGAGCAGAGGAGAAAGAACACAGCCCTG